GCGCGCCGCGCGCGCGCCCGCGGCGTGGGCGGCGCTTCGGGGCGCGGCGGCCGCCTCGCGGAAGTCCCGCCTCCTTTTCCCCGCCTCCCGTCTCGCGCCACACTCGCCGCGCTCCCATTGGGCGCGCCCGCCCGCCAGTCTCGGCTCGGCGGTGACGTCAGCGAGGGGCAGGGCGCGGCCCGCGGCGGGGGGAGGGGCGCCCCGGGTGGGGCCGTTACGGAGCCGTCGCCCCTCGGAGACAGCGACGGCCCCACGGGTCCCCTCAGGGACCGCAGTGGCCCCACGRGTCCCCTCAGGSASSGCAGTGRYCCCACRRGTCCCCTCAGGGACMGCRATGGCCCCAAAAGACCCCTCAGGGAAGGCAGCAGCGCCACAGGTCCCCTTGGGGACAGCAGTGTCCCCACAAAGCACTCGGGTGGGAGCGGGCTCAGCAGCCCCCCCAGGAATGGCAGCAGCCCCACGGGTCCCTTCACGGACCGCAGTGGTCCCACAAGTCCCCTCAGGGACAGCAATGGCTCCACGAAGCACTCAGGGGTGGCAACGGGCTCGGCAGCCACCTTGGGGACAGCGGCAGCCCCATGAGTCCCCTCAGGGTCCTCAGTGTCCCCACAAAGCACTCAGGGGTGGCAGCGGGCTTGGCAGCCTTCTTAGGGATGGCAGCAGCCCCATGGGTCCCCTCGGGGACCACAATGGCCCCACGAATCCCCTCAGGGATGGCAGCAATCCCACGGGTCCCCTCAGGGACAGAAATGGCCTTGTGACACACTCAGGGGTGGCAGCGGGCTCAGCAGCTCCCTCAGGGATGGCAGCAGCCCCATGGGTCCCCTCGGGGACAGCAATGGCCCCACKAGTCCCCTTAGGGACCACAATGGTCCAACMAGTCCCCTCAGGGACTGYGGTGGCCCCACRAAGCACTCAGGGGTGGCAGTGGGCTTGGCAGCCACCTTAGGGACAGCAGCAGCCCCATGGGTCCCCTCAGGGACAGCAATGGCCCCACGAGTCCCCTCAGGGACATCAGCCATCTCGGGGGTGGCAGTGACCTCCCCAGGGGTGGCACTGGCCCCTCCAGCCCCCCGGGGACACTAGGCTCTGCCATGACCACCAGTGGCCCCTCTAGGGTCATCGGTGGCCCCGGCAGCCCCTTCAGGGACCCTCTCTCCCTGCCGGACCAGCTTCCAGTGGCTCCTGCGAGTAGCCGGAGCCCTGGAACACAGGGGGTCCACCGGAGCACTTGGCCGTGGATGTGCGGATCCAAACCTGTGGATCCGATCCGGGCCGTTCCCCGGCACCCCCAGGCCTCGCCCGGCCGGAAAAGCGAGCGGGTTTTCCTCCAGCTCGGGCGTTTCCGTGTGTGCTTTGCTTTCCCAGCTCCGCGTGCTCCGCATTCCCCTTGGCAAAGCGCTGAGCTCCCGCGGGAGCCCTGAGCAAGGACACGGCAGGCAGCGCGGCACTTTGCAGCTCGGGGAGGTTTAATCCGCGGCCGTACGAGCGCCTGCGTGCAGCGGAGGAGGAGGAGGAGGAGGAGGAAGGCGGTATCCATGGAGAGCGGGCTCGGGAATGCGGGCAGGGAGCCGCCGGCGCGCGCGGTCCTGCGCCCGGTGCAAGGCCGATGAGCAGCAGCTCATCACGAGATGTTCACATTGGCCTTCGCAGTCACTTGCCCTGCAGAGCTCGTGGTAAGGTCTAAAGAGGCACGTCCCGCTGTGGGAAAATGGGAACGTGCTCCATCTGATGCCTAGCGCCAGCCCTGGCACCGAATGTTATCCGCTAGGGAAGTGGATCCTGCGGGAGACATTGTGCCGAGGATGAGGACGTGCCGGCTTGGGGGTTGCTCCGGGCACCGCGTCCTCCCGAGCAGCTGCTTTTCCAGTGAAAAGCCCTTCCCTTTCCCAGGGCGCTGGCACACGGAGGCAGGGGAACATAGCAGATTTGGGGAAGCCGGGCGCTCCGCGGGGAGCGCGGGCATTGCGGCAGCGCCGGAGCCGCGCGCCTGGGACGGCGCCGCGGGGAGGGACGGGCTCAGTCACGAGCAGCCGCTTGTGCAGCCGCCTCCGAGGCCGGGGAGGCTTCCCGGGAAAGCGGCCGCGGGCGGCTCAGCCGGCCAGGCGGCTCCTCGCACGCGCCCGGGCCGCTGCAAAGGTCCCCGGTCCCCTTCAACCTGTAGTACATATATATATATATTTGTATATGTGTATATATATATATATACACACATATATATATAGTCGGATTGTTGGAGCACCCGAGCAGCCGCTCTTGGAGCGCCCGGCTCCATGTGAGGGATTATCTCGTGGATGGAGGCAAAAGCAGAGGCATTTCCAGGCCAGGAGCGCCAGTGTGGTGGCCCCTGCACACCCTTCCAATGCCCTCCATGCCCTTCCAATGCTCTCCATGTCGTTCCAATGCTCTCCACGATGCTCTCCATGCCCTTCCAATGCTCTCCATGTCGTTCCAATGCTCTC